GGGGGAGTGGAGGGGGGACGGGAGAGGGACCCAAAACCGCCAACTGCCAACCAAGCTCCCCCAACCAATTCGGGCGCCCCCCCCCACGTGCCGTGTGCCATCCTCGCCAGCTACTGCTTGCGGCTCAGCTCCTTCAAGTACTTCCGTGGCAAATTCATCCGTGCCATGTCTGGTTCGCTATGTGTGTCTTTCCTACTCCTGGCCCCCAAACACCAACCCCCCTACGCCAGCAATGATCAGTCGTTTCTTGCACCATCATATGACTCCTCGCTCCCGCCGCAAAGTTACCTGGCCCCGCATCGCTTCCGCCCTTTCCTCTCCCCGGGGGTTTGCGTGGGGGAATGACACGAAACACACAGGGTACGGCTCGTCCCGGAGGAGGTGGAAACGGCGGTCAAGCTTGTACGGCAGGCCATTGAGGCTCAGCTCCGGAACCCACTCCATTCGTACCACCAGCGTGTGCGTTACATCAACTACGGCGGCTGCTATTACTTCAAACAGCTTACCTTGGAGGTTCGTTGGGGTGTGTGAAAAAGGGGGAGGCCGTGGGGGCTAGGGGTTAGGAGGTGTGGGTAAGGGGGAATCTGGTGTTTTTGCGTGATATGGGCTCCCATGGGGCTGTGTATGTGTGTGCGTGTGTGTGTGGTGGTGGTGGGGAAATGCCCTTTGGTTGCCGGACATGTCTCCCTGTTCTGTATTGTACTGCTCGGATCCCCTCCTCCTCTGCAGATCCCTCTCTTCCCCCGTCCAGGAATCTCCCCTCCTGGACGGCTTTTCTGAACACTGCCCGTTCCGGCCTCAAAACACACATACACACATACATACATACAACACACACTCGCCCCCCTTCCAGGAGGTGGACAAGGTCGACCCCGCTCTGGCCCTGGCCCATCACAACCTGAGCTGGAGGAACCCCGCGGAGTTCACCCTGGTGCTAACCGGTACGTGGGTCGGTGGGTCGTCGGTCCGTTGAGGAGGCCCTGGTGAGTGTGTTTTTGAGGGGGGAGAAGTGTATGTATGTATATGTGTATGTGTGTATGTATGTATGTGTGTGGGGATGGGGAGTAGAGCTAGAGCAGTCTCAACAGCGTATTAGATGGTGTTCTTTCACTTTCCACACGCGCAATAACACACACACACAGACACGCACAAACATACACACAGATGAATGGTATCATCCCGACGTCCTAATCAGGCAACGTGGATCGGGGGCAACTGGAGCAGCTGCTGTGCCGCTACCTCGCCACACTGCCCAAAACCGCTCTACCGCCGCCAAAGCTACCAAAGGTACGGCACTGTACGGCACTGTACGACCACCGTCTACGGCCACTTCTTGTCAAACATTACTTTAACACTTAAATCATGTTTTATGTAGGCCTGAATGAAATCGTTCCGGACTAGGGTCCTTCCTAAGGTTCTAACCCCTAGGCGTCCATCGGAACTATTTTATAATCTTGGTCGTTGATGTCCCACTCGCTCGGCCCCGTCCCGTACGACAGGACGTCAAGCCGCTGCCGTACAGGTTCCCGGAGACGCCTGTCGTGGAGGACGTCAAGGTGTGTTTCGGGGAGCTGTGGGTTCCAAAAGCTGTGGTAACGGCGAACTTACATGTGCCGGATTATAGCCGTACAGTTCCTGTATCGTACAATCTTACAATTTCTTCCCCGACTCCCCTATCCTGCTTCTTGCACATGATACCCTCCCCGCTCCCCCTCCCCTTCCCCCTCAGCTTCACTCGTTCGTGGTTCGTCTTTCCTCCCTCCCCCCTCCCCCTCCCCGCTCCCCCTCCCCGCTCCCCCTCCCCCTCCCCCTTCCCCTTCCCCCTCTTCCTGGTTATTGTTTCAGGTTGCCATGGTGTCGCCGGTGGCTCAGTCGCAAATCACCTTCCCCGTGTCGCTGTCCCGCCCCCGGGCGAGGGAGGAGGTGGTGTGGCTGGCGCTGGCGTGTAGGGCCCTGGAGACACGGCTCATTCAGAGGATGCGGTTTGTTAGGGGGGATGTGTACACGGTGCGTCTCCGCGCGCGCGTATGTATGTGTGTATGTGCATGTGTATACGTGTCTGAGCGTATGTGTGAATGTATGTTCTGATGTACCGGTAGGGATACCTACACGTATTGCTTGGTTTTGTGTGCGTTAGCGTGTGTTCGTTTGCGTGTGTGTTTGTGCTTTTGTGTGCCTGTGTGTGTGTGTGTGTGTGTGGGCGGGGGGTGTTGCGTGTTTGACTCTTTCCCGTGATGGTTCCCCTCGCGGTTTCACAACCTCCCTCTTCCATCTCCCCCGGCCCCCGTCCCCCTTCCAGGTTTCCGTGAGCTCCTTCTTCGGCTGCGTAGCTCCCAGCCTGGACGGTGCGTCAGGGGGGGTAGAGGGGAGGAGGGGGACGGGGTGGGGGGAGAGGGAGGAGAGGGAGGGGGAGGAGTGGGGGGAAGGGGAGGAGCAGCGCCTTTCCCCCCGGGGCTGATGAGGTCCGTCATAGACCCATCCAATCCCGTCCACCGCACACACGTAGCTGATGTGCATAGTCGCGAACCTCACCGCCCTAGGGGTTGTGGATATCCGTATGCACGTGCACATGCACGTGTATGTGTACATGTGTGTGTGTGTTTCTGGATCTTTCCCCGCCTCGTATGCATTTCCCTCCGGTGTTTTGTAGTTTGCACCGCATTGTTCCCGTCTCACTAGAACCTGTATATACATACATACACACATACACTTCCCCGCCCTCTCCCCCCCGGCTGTCCCCCCATTTTACAGGCGACCCTGAGGGCGATGTGGCCATCATGTTCTCCTGCGACCCCGCTAACAAGGATCGACTGGTTGGCATGGCGCTGGAGGAGGTGAGGGGGGGGAGGTGTAAGGGGGCTAGTGGGGGGGGGAGGGGAGAAAAAAGGGGGTATGGTGGGCGATGCAGTTAAAGACAAGTGTGGGGACTGCGGGGCAGTGGGGTGCTCGTTTTGTGTGTTTTGGGGTGTGGAGGATGGACGGATGGATGGATGGATATGCTCGGGCGGGGTCCGTTACAAAGGCGATGTGGGATATGGCGGAATGAGGCAATTCAAGTGCGTGGTACCGTGTCGTACAGTGGTGCCGTATGCTCAGTACGTTATTGTGTCGTACAGGTAGCGGCAATCCAGGCCAGCGGCATGACGACTGAGGAGGTCGAGACGCTGATCAACTTGGAAAGGCTGCAGTACGAGGAAAGCCTGGTGAGTACAGGCACGTATGTATGTATGTGTGTACTATGGTAAGCGCGTATGTATGTGTGTATCATGTACGATGTGTGTGTGTGCCATTCGTGCCTTCATGCCCGGTATCAAGGCCGATACCCCCGATGTACTTTTCGCTAGGTACCAAGGTATTGCGCTGCAGGTATGTGCCGTACATTCCTGATGTCCATGTACGGTGTGTTTTCCCTTTGTCGGGGTAGATCCCCCGTGCATGCTTCAGCTTTACTTGACATAAAACCCGCTCCCTTCAGCTCCCTCCAGACTCCTGCTTGCCATTTCCGTTGTCCCTCCCCCATTTCCCCCACCATACACACTTCCAGTAATTTATTCCTTTGACCTTCTAGAGTTTCACTATGGGTTTTTTTTCTCCAACACGCGCATACATACGTACATACATACACGCAGGCGGAGAACAGCTACTGGCATGAGGTCATCGTGTCTGGTTTCCAGTCCAAGAGCTACCAGCTGCTCGGGGGGGATCTGGGGGCAGTGTACGGCAAAAACACGGAGGCTCGGGAAAAGGTGGGCGGAGGAGGGGGGCCCGGGAGCCGGGGGAGGAATCCCAGGAAGGGGGAGAAGACGGTGTGGATGGGGGTTGGATGGGAGGGAGGGAGAGGGGGTTGAATGGAGGGGTTATTACGGGGTTAGCTAAGCATGTATGCGCAATGGTTCTTTCCCGCCCTTTCGTTGCTTTGAGTTTGAGGGGTCTGTTGTTGAGTGTGTGTGCGTGTGTGTGTGTATTGTGTGTCCTTTGAGTACCCCCCAATCCCCCCGACGCAGCCCCATTCCAAGCCGTTGATGCCCCTTGAAAATTATCAACGGATACAACACCACGTCTTTCTCCCTTCCCTAATTCCCCCATTCACTCACCTCAACACTGACTCCCCCACCCCCCATGGGATACCCCCCCCCCTGCCTCATCCTGCCCCAGGTGTGGGGCTCCTGTACTCCGGAGACTCTGCAGGAGGCCTTCCGCCGCCTGTTCCCCTCACCCCCCACTGGCAGATACACAGCCATCAGCATGCTGCCTAGGTAGGGGCTGGGGGGGCCCTAAGTGGCGGCGGTGGTGCTGGTGGTGCTGGTGGCGGTGGTAAACCTGATAAGGGACCAAGGGGCATCAGCAGGTGCTTCTCTGTATTAGTACGGCACCTGGCTGGCGGGGCAGCAGCTGTTGTCCGCATTGAGCAGCGAGTACACGCAGCTGTTTCCGTATCACAGCCCCCGCCGGAGTGCCACACCTCCGTAAATGCTCTCCGTCATGTAATCCCCCTCCCCCCTCCCTTGCTCTCTTGCTCTCTTGCTCCCTGCTGCCTCCCTTCGTGTGTACGTGTGTGCGTCCTACTGATCACGTGTCACATCGGGGCCCATGTTTGTCCCCCCCTGCTCACTGGACATTCAGGCCGCCGGGGCTATGGCACCGCATCGGTGCATATCTAGCGAGTAAATGGCTCGGAGCCTCGTGCGGGGGCTTCCCGCCGCCAGCGGGGGGAATGCCCCAGGAGCCGCCGCCGTCAGCCGCCGCCGCTACCACCATGCCACTTTTAGGCAGTAGCGCTGCAACAAGCGCCGGCGGCGACGGCGACGGCAGCAGCATTTTGTCGTACATCCCGGCTGCGGGCATCACCGCGGCGGCCGCCGCGGCGGCGGCGGTGGGCGCTGGGTTACTGCTCTGGTCCAGATCGGGCCAGCGCCGCGGCTAGCTTTGCCAGATACATTAGAGGTGTGCGGCATGCATGCTGTACGACCTGAGTCGATGTGCTGTGCCTGGTTACGTTGGGACTGTCTTAAGGCGGGCCGCTGTACGGTGGCAGTACGTAATGTGCAGTTCGTTGGGGACTGTTACGCTTTCCGTACTTGGTGGGAGGTCGAGCCCTCCGAGCGAGGGGAGGAAATGGTACGATTGCCGATTCTTGCTCCAAATTGAATTGGACCTCGGCAAATCAAATCGGCTAATAGTTTGCTCGACCCGAACCTGTTCAAAATCCCCACAAGAACTGAATTCATTGCTTTTTTGCTGCTTGGGAGGGCGTTTTGTGTCGCTCTTTCTTTTTTTTATTACGGCATTCAGCTTTTCCTCGGAAGCAGGAAAATCTGGCCGCACCACTGCCACAGCTTACAAGCTGTGGTACTACTTCCTTAACCCTAAACCTTATCATTATTATGCAACTAGCCGCCCGTAGCCGCGGTATGGGTTTCTGTCTTCAAATGGAAACTCCTTTGGGTGTTACAGCTACGTGGTTCACAGGTAATTGAGATAACCTCTCTACGGACAGTTACGCGTGTGGAGCTAGTAGGTCCCTTGGCAGACCTCCTCACGTGCAGGGAGTTTGCAAGGAATATCATGGCCATTAAACCTACTTGCCGAACTAGTTAAAGGACCGGTCAAACGACACTCTTGACGGAAAACCCAAAACAATGGAGAATTCAGTATGCATGATGGCATCCACAGGCTCTCCCAATGTGGCTTTCGATGCGGCGGATGGAAACGGGGGTTGTGGACATCTAGGGTTCTGTACTTGTCCGCGGCCACTGCTGAGCGGATTTACTACGGTATACTCAAGTAGTAGTGGTTGTCCAAGAGGGAATAGCTGCCTTAGCAGTCGTCGGCAATCGTAACGCATAGGCTACACGTGTGTTGGGAAGGGTATGTAGAACGCAGCCTCATGCACGGCATGACAAACCAGATTCGACAGCTTGGCATCAACGATACCTTTGCCAAAGCCAAACCTCTTTCACTATGCACCTTGATGGGTACTAATAGTGCGTATTGCACGTGTAATTATACTCAGGACCTAGGCAGGAAGCTAACCCCATGCTGGGTTTCGGATTACATCACGAGCCGCTAAGAATCACGACGGCACTGCGTGCGGTTGCACGGCATGGCTGTCGTCCATCCAGCCTTGGGAGCTTCAAACCGCTCGTCGACATGGTAGATTGGATAGAGAATGACTTCCAAATATTCGCGAGCTGGTGATTAATTAGTCGTACCATGTAGTTCACATGGAAGCACATGGCCACATGGAAGCAAGAAATCTTGCCTGGCTCCGAGACCGCTAACATCGAAGGCCGCCGCAAGCGCGAAGGTCTACCAATCATGCCTATTTCCAACCTGCCATATTGGCTATAAAGCTCGCATGCCTGACGTTTATTTTGGAGTTGTCCGGCGCAACGGCTCTATTTACGATTTCGCACTTTTTTCCCCCAAATACTAGTAATAGATTAAACAACTAAGTCATCATGGCATTTCGCCTGTGTCGTGATGCTCTTGTGGGGCCCGGGAAAGTGACTTCGCGACGGATGCGGCCGTGCTCAGCAGTCCTGCCTTTGGCACAACAATCTTTTGAGACAAATACAGATGCAAGCAGAACTGCCAGGCGCAGCGCGGCGGTGACGTTGCTGTCTGCCGGTAAGTCGCCGGTCAATCCCTAGTGGACGGCTCCGAAGTACCCCGGCCCAGTCGGCAATGCAACATCCGAATTTCGTTACGCGCGTAATGGAGAGCTTCGCGTGGAACAACAGGGCTGCTATGCGGTCAAGTAATGTTGCCGGAGTCGGCGTTGGCAACAGTCGACACGGCGAAGGTAAGGCAGGGCTTGGGGTCACCGCCGCGGGTGCCAACAGAAGCTTATCATTATCACACCAAATTTTGGGTGCTATTTCCTTCCAGCTTAGGTAACAAACCCTTACGTTGCCTTCTGATGTGCCGGTGCATGGAGAGCTGAAAAACAGCTTTGAACGGGTCCAAACTATCATCACAACGAGTGCAGACGTGCAGTTATCTACTGTACTGAGGCAAGATGGCCGGTCGGTGATTCAAGTAGATGTTGCTCTAGGGTTTCAGCTTCGCTCTAGACAGCTGCCCTTAACACCTACCGGGCACGCATCCGGGCCAGCGCGCGGCCGTCAGCCACGGATACGGATGCTACGGGTTTATCCACTCACACTTCATTTCTCACGCCTACCACCTGCCGCACATCTGCTGTCACATCAGGGGCTACCTACCTACCGGCAGGGGTGCGCTTGCTCCAAAACCGCGCATCTTACATCTTCGGTACAATCTTCGCACTGAGTTCCCTAAACCTATCGCCCTACTTGAAAACATCTCTTTTCCAAAAACTAACAAAAAAATCTCCGGGGGGGGGGGTCACGTAACGGACGCGCAGCCCCAGGCGACCCTAGTAGCCGCCGCCCAGCCGACCCCGCGGCCTCTGTTGCCAAACTTGATGCTGGCGCCGCCGCCTCTCGCGTCCACGGCCGTCACCAGCAACGGCGCTGCCGCAGTGATCGAGGAGGCAGAGGAGATCGTAATGGACGTCGTACATTTTTTCCAGCATAGCGTAGAGGCCGTCGAGTCGACCGTACACCACCTGCAGGTACCGGATAGCACGATGTTTTTGTTCGTTGTTACCGTTAATGTTGTTGTTGTTACAGCGGTGGGCTACCCAGCTTCTATGTCTGGGAGCAAAGAAGCCGAGACCTGAAGTGGATCTGGATCTGGATCCCGGGTTCATTACGCCTCTCCCCCCTTCAGGTTGTTCATGCGATGGAGCGGCTGGAGGGGATGCCCCTGAACCAGGTGGGTCATGACCCATGGGTCAGCGGGGGGAGCAGTGAGGTAGGGGGCGAGACGAAGTAGCGGCGGGCTGGGGACGTACGGCACACCTTCTGTCGCATCGTCTGTGCCTCGTCGTACCCCCTGTCTCCGAGGTTAGTGGGGGGAGAGGGGAGGGGGCTGCTCAATTAAAACCGGCGGTGAGGGACCGGTGGGTTGACCATTCGACGGTTGCTGCCATGTCCGATACGAGCGCATTCCATTCCAGCTGTCGAAAAACGCCTAACAGCCTCAACAGCGATACCTCAACTGTTGCTCCTGCTGCTGCTGATGGTGATGCTTCAATGCGATGGAACACTTGTCATGGACGCCGTCTTTGCGCTCCTAAATAAACTTCCCGCGGTCGCCGTGATTTATGTGTATATATTTACATACATACTTGTCGTCCAATTTCATAATAATAGGTGGTTGATCTTGAGCTGCTCAAGGCCGCGATGCATCCGGCGTCCTCATCATTGTACGGCATGACGGAGTACGACGAGGAGCAACTTGTCAACAGCAGATTGGACTCTGCTCTGGACTCAGTGGCTCAGTGGCAGCTCCGTGATGTGGTGGATGTTGGGAAATTGGCGAATGCTCTGCAGGTGCGTCTTGCATTATATAAGGATTTACCTGTATGTCTAGTGTGTATGTTTGTGTGTTTTATGTTGGCCCAGGCGGCAATTTAGCGCTCATTCCTAATGCATACTTTAGATTTCCCATAAGCCAAATCCTTATCCCCGGTCCTCCGTACAGGATGTGCAGTACAGCGGGCCTTTGGACTCCCGGTCGCTGCAACGAGAAGCACCCCGACTGCGGAGAGCGGTTCATTGGGAGGCTGTGGCGGAGGCTGTGAGGCCTCCAGTGCTGCGACAGGCACTCAATGCGCTGGCGGAACCGGCCAGGCGCGGCGCTGCCGGGCCGTTCTCTGAGCTGGATATCCGTACGGCGATAGCTGCCGTACGAATGGATGTCGTACGGGACGTATTATCGCCGCCTAAACCGTCGTCCCAGCAGTCGAGGGTGCATTCCCTGGACTCCAGCGGTTTGTGGACCTGGGACAATATGTGAGGCTCTTGCACGGGTGGGAAAGTGGTTAAGGGTTGTTATTACAGTTGGGGTAGTTGAGAGCGGTTGAAAATCGTTGTAATTGTATACAGTTATATACAGCTATAAGCAGTTTGGCGGCGGCGCGTGAAAACAGTCATCAAAATGCAGATGAGTGAGTTGTGGAGAGTGGTTGAGCACAGGGGGTTGTGTACGCATGCAGGTGCTGCCGCGATGATATGACGGTATGATGTGGGTTGCAGAGTGGGTAGGGGGGGGGGCTACATGGCACGGGAGGAGGGGAATGTGGGTGCTTGTCACACGGTGAGATCTGAGCACGTGCGGGTTTTGCAAGCAGCGCTAAGTTGTACACGACGCTCACGAACGCCACTCATGCAGCCTGTCTGACGTTGGCTTGGCAACGCATCGACAACAACGACACAGGATATAAAGGCGCAAAGAGAAGGTGATAAAGACAAAGGACAGGGGGGGGGATGAAGGCGTGGCGGACCATCCAACTACTCTCGGCCTGGAGCGATGTGTTTAGGAACCGGACTGCTGGTGCAGGGCCAGGTCCATGGTGATCGCGTGGCTGGGTGTTGGTTGCTTTGGGGTTGCTCATATGCATGTGTAGGGGCCATATCCTCACATATCCTGGCCGCTACCCGGCGACACCCTGCCTTCCCCGGTATTTCGGGGCACCCTCATCCAGCGTCACCCTAGCCAACTTCTCAGTGGATCGTTCAGATTTCGCACCCAACACCGGCATCCAATGGAATCTGCCGGGTCAACTGCGGCTCAACTCCATTCCTGGTCAGCTCATAAATCAACTTTATCCCAGGTCACCACCGTCCATCGACTAGGGGCATTTTACCTTCCTCCATCGGATGGATTTACGAGCTTGCCAGGTCTCGATCCCGGGATTTCCCGTGCGCATTGGTGCGAGCTCTACAAGTAGTGCCTAACCTATACATATGTATGGATGTGTATGGGGGAAGAATCTCAAAGCCCAGAGGTGAAAATAAAGTAGGCTAGAGATATGGACATACATACATAAACTAAAATAAGCATCAGACAATTCTGTGCAGGAGTAAGCTGCATTATAGATGGCATGCGCTATCCGCCGAAAAATGATTCCCACACTACAACAACCTGCGAGAATTTCAGCCTGACAATCGATGGTTCTTTGGATTCCCTTGATTTCGGAGCCCGCCCCGACGTTCAAGCCCCGTTTAAAGCCTTAAACTCAACAATTACGCTATAAGTCTCTATTATATTTTGAGTCTGGGTGTTCAGGGCCTGCATCAGAGTGGATTGCTACACTCAAGCTCACATCCACTCCGGCTCGTGCCATCTGCGAACAAGGTGGTGCCTCCAGGAACGCAAAACATCCTTAAGCAATAGGCCTACAACACCATTGATTGAGTGGCCGAGTGCAGAGCTCTTGAATTATGGCGGACGAGCTCCAGTTGGTTCATCAGAAGATTAAGGATACCAAAGCCGAGGTTAGGGTCGTTGAAAATCGTCTGAAAGCAGTGGCGGAGCAGCTGGGGGCTGGCTTATCGGAGGAGATTTACAACCGCCTGAACAGCGAATGGAAATTACTAATGACAGATCTTGACGCCTTGCGGCAAAAGGAGAACCTCCTGCTCGAGCAGCGAATACGCAGTGAGTTGAAGGGAAAGGCTCTATATGGGGACCGCGGATGCCGCGGTCTTGGATCGCCGATAGCTTTACACGCACGCGTTGCAAGTGGGCTTCGGGTGCACTATATTGAGCTGTTTGTCCGCGAACATGAGTATGGTGCGTTTAACGGCCCGCAAAGTATCTCGGCTTTCGCCAGTTGAGTTGAAATTGCTTTGTATGTAGTACGGCCAAGTCATTTGGCTGTCGCTGGTCATGACGTCCGCTGTGTGTCCTGCAGGTGGCTACCGCCATGCGTTTCCCTCGAAGGAGCAGTTTTGGGAGCAGCTACCGTCGGCAACGTTTGCCATGTCCCCGGAGGGCTACGAGATCCTGCAGCTTGCACCAGGCACTAAGTTACCACTGCCTTACGACGTTCCAGCTTTGCTGTGTCGGCCCTGCTACCGCACCTTGTCGGAGAAGATTTTTGCATCTGTTGCGAATTCTGGTAGCTCCCCTAGATTCCTAATCCTCGGCACACCAGGCAAGTCGTCGGAGTTGAGCTGTTGAGGAACCAGACTGATCCCCTGAATGGGTGATGGTGAAGCTGGGAATATATTCAATAGGCTTTGGAAGGGTCAAGCTGCTTGCCTGGGGTGTTCTGATGTCGCAATGTGTTCCCGGACTTATGGCTTCAAAGAGGATGCCATTCATTTGTTCCGTACAGGTATCGGCAAGAGCATTTTCCTGTACTACTTGCTTCATCAGCTAGCGTGCCTGGGCAAAACCGTCGTGTGGTATGGCGAGTATTTGCTGTCTGTGCTGCTGTACACACCCAACGGTGTGTTCCAGGCAGACTCCATTGCGGCTTTTAGCGAGGAGCTAGAAAATCCGAATACATGGTATGTTGTGCAAAGCAGGGCTAGTGGATTTGCTGTGCATGCTCGAAGCTCTGCCGCATGTTGATCGTGGTGCGACCTAATCATGTTCTGTGTTTGACTCGCTCATCAGGTTCTTATGTGACGGTGTGGAGCCGGTGTCCACGGCGGCAATCACTGTGATGGCATCCTTGCCCCGCAGCTCAAAGTACCAAGTAAGTGCATGAACAGTGGAAAACGGTTACAAGTACTGTGTTTCAGTCGCTTGAAGCATAAGGGGTTGTGTTACTCATGCTGAATGCAACCTTGTGTCAACAGTTCGGCAGCACATCTTGCGGTAGCCTCCGACCTGATGACTTGACATCTGAATGGGTCTGTTGACCACGTCAGCTGTTCTGCACTTCGCTGGTTTTCAGTTTTTGGCCGTACATATCCGTATCATGTGCGTTGTACCACCACACTATGTAGAAGTACGACAAGGAAGGTCCCATACAGCTGTGGATGGGCCCCTGGTCCGTGTCGGAGCTAAAGGCGGCGCGTGACGCCATTTTCACCTCGGTCGACGCTGATGAACTACAACGGCTTTATGTTCGCTGGGGTGGCATCCCAGACTTCGTCTTGAAATTTGCAAATGCTAAGTTCAAGCAGCAGCTGTTTGACATATGCATATCTGCTTCAAATGGGATGCGGATATATGAAGCAGTACGTGATATCGAAGCTGCGTCAGATGATATCCTCAATCTGCTTTACATCCAGGTGCGAAGCCTCTCAAGATGACAGGCCGTGGGTATCCAATGCTGCAAGCACAGGCCTTTGGTAATATGTGTCTCCTAGGGTGTGCTTCAGGTGTACATGTCATGGCCGGGGGTAGAACCTTACACGTAGCTGAACTAGTGGAATGATAATTAACATGGCTGGTCAGTAATTCCCATTACAATGCCCTCTGATACTGCAATGCCCACTGATGAAAGCAGGGCTATATTTGTAGGGTACATGGCGGGCCTGAACTGCGTACCCTTCGACAAAAGCATTAACCCAGCTTTGGATTATTGTCACATCGACATGCAGGTGAACGAGGAGTGCAAGAAGATAGGCGTGGTTTTCGGCTCGGTGGAAATTGCACAGCGCATGCAGCAGCTGCTGATGCAGCGGGACCCGTTAGGCGAGCTGCTCTACCAGTGTTCTGGCGATCTGGAACGGGACTCTGTATGGTTTGACGATCTGCTTTACTGGTCTGCTGGCAAGCCGGAACTGGCCTCGCTGAGGGCCCAGCTGTTTGAGAGTGCAGCCCATGAAGCACTATGTAAGGGTGGCACATTTCGTGTGCGCAGCCTTTCCAACCCCGAACAGCAGGTCAGTCAACTGAAGGTGGGCCAAATGGAGCAGAAAGTAGTATGGGACAGCGACCTAAAAGAAGTGAACCTTGAAACAACAAAATCGGGATGCCTGATGGTGCCTGTGTCGAAGGACTTCCCAGCCGCCGTGGACAGCTTTCTTCTTTTGCCGAGCAGTGAATGCAGGCCAGGACGGCTGCTCTTCATCTTGGCGACCTTTACAGCCCAGCGCCCGATTAGCGTGCGGGGGTTGCTAGATGCCGTACAGAAGTTATCTGGTGATCTTCGGGGGCTCAAGCGTGAGCTGTACTTTGCAGTGCCGCCTGAGCTCTTTGACTCATTCACAGAACAACACTTTGACGGGCTTGAGACGGAGGTGGACACCATTAAGATGGAGCAATTTGCCATTGAGGTCCCGGTAGCAGGCTTCTGCACAGATGTCAAGCAAAGCAGTCCTGGAAGTGCTAGCAGTAGCAGCAGTAGCAGTGCCTGTAGCCACAGCAACGGGACGGCTGTTGGCAGAGGTATTCGTGTTGCACCATCTGCCTTGAGCAGGTCCTCATCCAGCACTTTGGCTCATTGGGGGAGCAGCCATCGGCCAAGGATGAATCCCCACATGGTCTTGCTTCGGAAATCCCTTATCTCGCGCGTCTCAACTGCTTCGAGGTGGATGTGGTGAGGGTGATGGTGTGGCTGCAGCTACACCAGCTGCATCTGTACAGATGAACATGTTCATGGTAGCAAGGATGATATAGCAATCGCTATTGCAAGGGATCCAAAAGTGGTTCGGAAAGGGTGACATTGTGGCCACTGGGTCATTGTTGTGGCTACAGAGGCTGCAGTACAAATAAGCTCTCCACTCTGCTTGGCATGATGGGTCTGTTGACTTGTTTTACCATGATGCCTTTTTGGCCCTTTCATGCACGGGCATGTGACACTTCAAAAGCCATTGTTCTTTCCAGGGCTGCAATCTCTGAGGTAGCTTGACTTGATCCTGATCCTGACTGTCTTGCTCTTGTTCTGTTTCTTTGGCCTCTTGATTTTCCTACCCTTCACCTAAGTCCTTCACGCCTATCTTCCACAGTCAGGGCTTTAGGGTTTAGGGTTTTATTTGCATGATATGTACGGTCGCCTCTGTATTGCTAACAAGGAACGTGCTTACTACTCATACTACGGCTTTACCATGCAGCATGACCACCGGACTCCGTTGACGTGTTCTGAAGGCCCCTCAGCCCTTCATTCCGAAATGAGCACGAACTGAACAAGAAATGAACGCGAAATGAAGGGATTCCCGAGAAGTCGAAGGGAGGTCGGTTCCCAGATTGTACAATACTCTCATGAACCCGAGCAAACACCAGCTATCAGCTATGACACAGTTAGTATAGACATGCATGCAAATATATGTAGATAATATATTTTGAAAATGTAATTGTCATATACAGCTATAAGCAGTTTGGCGGTGGCGCGTGAAAACAGTCATTCAAAAGCAGATGAGTGAGTTGTGGAGAGTGGTTGAGCACAGGAGGTTGTGTACGCATGCAGGTGATGCCGCGATGATATGACGGTATGACGTGCAACAGCATGTGCTGCGGCTAGATTAGGGCTGTGGGCCGCTGCAGCTGCAGGTAAAACCGTAAGGTTGATGTTGGCTGAAAGGGAAACATCCTGCAGTCAGTGCTGAATGGTTTTGTGTAAGTGTTTGTGCAGCCAGATGGAACGAAAGGACTGCTGGCCGGTTGCCCGACTCTAAAAAGGGAAGTACACACCTGCGAATTCCCTAGCTGAACAGAGCAGGAAGACATGCCAAAAGAACTATAAATCTAGCCCGGGGCCCATTAGCCAATCGCGTATCCCTCCGGATCCTGGCAGCCAAAGGCTCTCAGTTCCTTAGTTTACCGCAGGATCTGCAAGACCTGTCGCCGGGAAGGTAGGTTTGCGGATTTGCTGAGGTTTGTGCGCGTATATGCAGTTTTCGGGCAACCACGCAACAAGCAGGTAGGCAGATGGACTAAGCTGCATTAAAGATGGCATGGACTATCAGTCGCAAAATGATTACCACGGCATAACAACCCTGCGAGGATTTCAGCCTTTTCAGCCGATGGCCCTTTGGATTCCGTAGACTTCGGAGCCCACCCAACGTCCATCATCTTCAAGCCCGGTTTAAAACCTCCAGCTTGACGGAAATGGAATTACCTCAAAATTTAACTGCTGAGTTATCCGGGCCTGCATCAGTGTGTACTGCTACCCTCCAGGTCCCATCCACTCCGACCTGAAACATCTAAAAATCGGGTCGTGCCTCTAGGATACGCAAAAGGTCCTAATGCAGTAGGCCTACAACACCGTTGCTTGGGTGTCTGAGTCCAGGGCTCTGGAATCATGGCGCACGAGTTCCAGTTGGTTAAGCAAAAAATTAACAAGACCGAAGACGAGGTTAGGGCCGTCAAAGTTCGTCTGAACACAGTGGAGGAGCAGCTGGGGGCTGGCATATCTGAAGAAATGTACAGCCGCCTGAACTGCGAATGGCGCTTACTAATGGAAGATCTTACCGCCTTGCGGCGATTGGAGAACCTTCTGATCGAGCAGCGTATCCGCAGTGAGTTGTAGGGAAAGGCTCTATGCTGGGGCGCCGTTTTGCCACGGATGCCGCGGTTTCGGATCGCTGATAGCTTTACATGCACGCGTTGCAAGTGGGCTTCTGGTACATTCGGTTGAGCTGATTGTCCGCTAACATGACTATGGTACGTTCAACGGCTCGCAAGACTTCTCGACTTTCGCCAGTTGAGTCGAAATTGTTTTGTAAGTTTGCGCCCGCTGTGTGTCCTGCAGGCTGCCGCCATGCGTTGCGCTCAGTGGAGCAGTTCTGGAAGGAGCTACCGTCAGCAACGTTTGCAATGTCCCCGGAGGGCTACGAGATCCTTCAGCTTGCACCCGGCACTAAGTTCCCACAGCCTTGCGATGTTCCAGCTATGCTGTGTCGGCCCTGCTACCGCACCTTATCAGAGAAGATTTTTGCATCTGTTGCGAATTCTGGTAGCTCCCCTAGATTCCTAATCCTCGGCACACCAGGCAAGTTGTCGGAGTTGAGCTGTTGAGGAACCAGACTGATCCCCTGAATGGGTGATGGTGAAGCTGGGAATATATTGAATAGGCTTTGGAAGGATCAAGCTGCTTGCCTGGGGTGTTCTGATGTAGCAATGTGTCTCAATTACAGGGTGGTTAACTTCGCCAGCGGCCCCTTTTCCCGGGGCAGTCCCTGCTCTCCCCTGCTAGAGAGGCACCCTAATCCGTCACCCCATCCGACTTCAGAATGTATTCGTTGGGTTCGGCAACTCACCACCAGCATCCAACCAAATCTAGTGGATCAACGGCGCATCAACTAGGTTCCTGGTCAGCTTGCAAGTTGATTTTATCACGTTCTACATCGTCCATATGATGGGGGGCCACCTCCCATTTCAACAAAACATTCCTTAAACACCCGAGGAGCCGGCAGGCGGATTTGAACCCGGGGCGGCCGGGAGCAGAAGTCAGGCCTTAACCTCTTCCAGCCGCCTGCCACTCGTGCAATGTGTTCCCGGACTTATGGCTTCAAAGAGGATGCCATTCATTTGTTCCGTACAGGTATCGGCAAGAGCATTTTCCTGTACTACTTGCTTCATCAGCTGGCGTGCCTGGGCAAAACCGTCGTGTGGCATGACGAGTTGATGGCTTCTGTGCTGCTGTACACACCCAACGGTGTGTTCCAGGCAGACTCCATTGTCCCATTTACAAAGGAGCTAGAAAATCCGAGTACATGGTATGTTGTGCAAAGCAGGGCTAGCGATTTTGCTGTGCATTCTCGAAGCTCTGTCGCATGTTGATCGTGGTGCGACCTAATCATGTTCTGTGTTGACTCGCTCATCAGGTTCTTATGTGACGGTGTGGAGCCGGTGTCCACGGCGGCAATCACTGTGATGGCATCCTTGCCCCGCAGCTCAAAGTACCAAGTAAGTGCATGAACCGTGGAAAACGGTTACAAGTACTGTGTGTTCCAGTCGCTTGAAGCATAAGGGGTTGTGTTACTCATGCCGAATGCAACCTTGTGTCACCAGTTCAGGGGCACATCTTGCGGTAGTATCAGTTTTCAGTTTTTGGCCGTACATATCCGTATCATGTGCGTTGTACCACCACACTATGTAGAAGTACGACAAGGAAGGTCCCATACAGCTGTGGATGGGCCCCTGGTCCGTGTCGGAGCTAAAGGCGGCGCGTGACGCCATTTTCACCTCGGTCGACGCTGATGAACTACAACGGCTTTATGTTCGCTGGGGTGGCATCCCGCGCTTTGTGTTGCGACATGCAAATAATGCATGCCAGCAGCAGAAGCTTGACGAGGTGATAGCAGTTGCAAATCCAGAGCTGATATATAAAGCAGTATGTTACATCGAAGGGGCGTCAGATTATAACCACAAGCTGCTTCACGTCCAGGTGCGAAGCCTCTCAAGATGATAGGCAGTGGGTATCCAATGCTGCAAGCACAGGCCTTAGGTAATATGTGTCTCCTAGGGTGTGCTTCAGGTGTATATGTCATGGCCGGGGGGGTAACCTTAGCTGAACTAGTGGAATGATAATTACCTAACATGCATATGGCTGGTCAGTAATTCCCATTACAATGCCCTCTGATACTACAATGCCCACTGAAAGCAAGGCTATTTTTGTAGGGTACATGGTGGGCCTGAACTGCGTACCCTTAGACAAAAGCATTTACCCAGTTTTGGATTATTGTCGCATGTACATGCAGGTGAACGAGAAATGCGAGGAGGTCGGCCGAGTCTTCGGCTCAGTGGAAATTGCACAGCGCCTGCAGCAGCTGCTGATGCGGCAGCGCTCGGTATGGTTTGACGATCTGCTTTACTGGTCTGCTGGCAAGCCGGAACTGGCCTCGCTGAGGGCCCAGCTGTTTGAGTGTGCAGCCCATGAAGCACTATGTAAGGGTGGCGCATTTCGTGTGCGCAGCCTTTCCAACCCCGAACAGCAGGTCAGTCAACTGAAGGTGGGCCAAATGGAGCAGAAAGTAGTATGGGACAGCGACCTAAAAGAAGTGAACCTTGAAACAACAAAATCGGGGTGCCTGATGGTGCCTGTGTTGAAGGACTTCCCAGCCGCCGTGGACAGCTTTCTTCTTTTGCCGAGCAGTGAATGCAGGCCAGGACGGCTGCTCTTCATCTTGGCGACCTTTACAGCCCAGCGCCCGATTAGCGTGCGGGGGTTGCTAGATGCCGTACAGAAGTTATCCGGGGACCTTCAGGGGCTCAAGCGAGAGCTGTATTTTGCAGTGCCGCCTGAGCTCTTTGACTCATTCACGGAACAACACTTTGACGGGCTTGAGATGGAGGTGGACACCATCAAGATGGAGCAATATGCCATTGAGGTCCCGGTAGCAGGCTTCTGCACAGATGTCAAGCAAAGCAGTCCTGGAAGTGCTAGCAGTAGCAGCAGTAGCAGTAGCCACAGCAACGGGACGGCTGCTGGCAGAGGTAGTCGTATTGCACCATCTGCCTTGAGCAGGTCCTCATCCAGCACTTTGGCTCATTGGGGGAGCAGCCATCGGCCAAGGATGAATCCCCACATGGTCTTGCTTCGGAAATCCCTTATCTCGCGCGTCTCATCTGCTTCGAGGTGGATGTGGTGATGCTGGTGGCTATTGCAAGGGATCCAAAAGTGGTTCGGAAAGGGTGACATTGTGGCCACTGGGTCATTGATGTGGTTACAGAGGCTGCAGTACAAAGTACAAAGAAGTCCTCCACTCTGCTTGGCATGATGGGTCTGTTGACATGTTTTACCATGATGCCTGTTTGGCCCCTTCATGCACGGGCATGTGACACTTCAAAAGCCATTGTTCCTTCCAGGGCTGCAATCTCTGAGGTAGCTTGACGTGATCCTGATCCTGACTGTCTTGCTTTTTTTCTGTTTCGCCAGATTACTCAGTCAGCGCGTGAACCAAAAGGTAAAAGGAAATGTCCCCGAGAAAAACCCCGTCCCTGAAGCTTGACAGTATAAACATACACACCCCGTTCATATCCGCCTGCCAACCTCTCGGTGTGTGAGGGGTGTTGAAATGGGAGGCAGTGTTTTTTTTGGTAATATATTACTTTTTTGGGAATAAATGGGGGTCTGAGCCTGGAAGAAATGGAATAATTGGTCAGTTGGCCGTACTGGTTCATTACTTCGGCCATAAGTCGCCCCAAATGCATTCTGCACATATAAATCTGAACATTTGGAGCTTATACACTATTTACGTATAAAATATTTGATGATATCACCATGAGACGGCCCGCTGTTGCATTCAACTTAGGTCAACGGGGCATTCGTTCATTCTTGACCAAAGCAAACGGCCCAGAAAGTCCGCAGACTCAATGCCCCAAACATTTAGAAGAAGAATTGGATAATACAGAAGACAAGGATAGGCATGCTGTAGTTGCCGCTCTTGAAGTCAGTGAAGCCAGCGATTTGAGCGAAGCTTAGGATCCCCTGGTGAAGCGGCAACGCACAACTGCAGCAACCAGCGACTCAGCTGAGCAGCTCGATTCTGACGAGGAAGGGCCACCACCCCAAGATGTCGCCACGGCACCACCGTCACCTTCAAGGGCGGGTGCTTCGCAGCACGCACCGCTGGTGATTTAAAAGCAGGCGCAGCGCCAGCAAACACAGTGCTGTGCGTTTCCAGACGTCAGGTGTTGTTTACAGCACACCGTACAGCCTTTGAGGGGGGGGTCGGGGGGGGGAAACCAGCTTCCTTTCGATACCCGGGAATCCCTTCATCTAGTTGTCGTTTCGTGCTCATTCGTGCTCATTTCATAACGAAGGGCTGAGGGGCCTTCAGAGCATATCGACGGAGTTCGGCTGAAATGGCCACTTAGCATGCAAAAGCCCTGTAATATCGCCATGCCAGGGATTGTTTTAATTACTTATGACTGTATGTATGTTGTTACAGGGTGGTTAACTTCGCCAGCGGCCCCCTTTCCCGGGGCAGTCCCTGCTCTCCCCTGCTAGAGGGGCACCCTAATCCGTCACCCCATCCGACTTCAGAATGTATTCGTTGGGTTCGGCAACTCACCACCAGCATCCAACCAAATCTAGCGGATCAACGGCGCATCAACTTAGTTCCTGGTCAGCTCGCAAGTTGATATTATCACGTCCTACACCGTCCATATGATGGGGGGCCACCTCCCATTTCATCACTCCTCAAACACCCGAGGAGCTGGCAGGCGGATTTGAACCCGGGTCTACTGGATCGACTGGGAGCAGAAGTCAGGCCTTAACTTCTGCCAGCCGCCTGCCTGTATGCATTGTTCCAACGTGAGTTATCATGAATTCTGAGCTCATCCCACCAAGAATTGCATGGTTTTGCGACATCGTGTTAATTGTGTGCTTCAGTATAGCAACCTGTCCATTTTTACTCCACTAAGCCTATATGTCTATAACTAAGTGACTGACACATGTCCCGCTGCTGTTGCAGTCAACCACCTTGGACATGGTGAAGCAGTGGGCGACAGATGTGGGCGGTGGAGATTGCAACAGCCATGATGACAGCAAAGGCCACCTCACTGCCCAATTATCTCAAACTGCTACAGTTTTGTGGTAAGGAAGTGGGAGAGGCTGGGCACTGCCTGGTCCCCACAGCATGTGCTGGGGTTTTGTAAGTATGGCGATAATCGTTACATGCCAGGCAGTGTTAGCCTGCCAGAACCTTGCCAACATTGATGCAGAACAGACATCAGCTCAGCGGCATGGTTTAACCCAAGCAGACACTCTCCAGCATATTGAACTCCTCTCACCGTCTACCCATCGTCTATCCTTCGTCTACAATAGATGAATCGACTATAGACAACATGCATAGACGAACTATTGTAGATGAACTTTAGACGAACTATTGTAGATGACTCGTCTAATAGACGGGTCTTCAGGATATAGACGACCGAAAAAAATACAGACGCAAAGCGCAGCCGTTCTGGACCTGATGTCGTCTTGACTGAAGCGGATCATGGAAACAAAGGCGAAGGGGAAGGGGGGCAAGAAACGACGGTGGTAATGGATGCACGTTTACTTTGGGATGAATGCACATGCAATGTGATGGACAGCTGCATTGTCTTCTTTTGTGGAGGTGCCTTTTCTTAGGGCTGAAGGCACGTTCTTATCACATGGTGGACAGGGTCTTGAGACGGCTTGGCTTATAAGCAAATCCGTATCAAGACACTGTTCATCATGTGATAAGAACACGCCTTCCTAGTTAGGATTGGAGGCGCGTCCATATGGCGCGATGGACATTATGAAAAAGCTTCATTTTGGGCTGAAAGGGGCCTTCAGATCACGTGATGTACATGTTTCATTTTATGGAGATTGCTTCATTTTGGACTGAAAGGGGCCTTCATATCACGTGATGTATATGTTTCATTTTATGGAGACGGCTTCTTTTTGGACTGAAAGGGGCCTTCATATCACATGATGGACATGAGCTCGTTTTATGGAGACCACCTTCATTTTGGACTGATGGGGCATTCAAAGCGTAAGGGCCGTTCATTCTGAGCTACCTTCATTATGTAATGAAGTGGTCCTCATTCCAAAATGAATCTTGGCCCTGAAATGAATGGAGCAATGAAGGGCCCTTCATAATGGTATGAAATGAATGTGAATCGCATATAGAATGAAGCCTCTAGGTTCCCAGAGTGTAGCGTGCTCGGTTGAATGCTCGGTACGCGGTCAGGACCCCAGTGTTTGTAGTTCTATTCATTCTTACAGAATTAACATTAGGGGTTTCTTATAACTTGACGGGTGGATATAAACAGCTTTTTCCGAAAGAGTGCCCGGGGGTGGCGTGTGTACTGTCAAGGTATAGAGTTTACTTGGCGGTAAATTCAAATATAGGAGGTTGTTTTCGTGGCTAGTAAAGCTCCTTGAATGCATCATCTGAATCCTGGCAAGAACCTGCGATAGGAAAGGATGCTCTTTCGTCATGGTGGGATCAAGTGCTGGGTTGCTGCCATAGAAGATAGCCGATTGATACAAACGTGAATGTTCTGGTACTCTTAGGGAACAAAACATAAACACATAGCCATAGCATATGACCATTGGGAACATGACTGAATTTACACATATGAGTGGCACAATTCATGATCGGTCATGCCGCATAAGGAGCAAACTTTCATGACCATGACTATGCCTCATGACCGGTAGCATGAGTGGTCATGAGGCGACATGACCAGGTCTATGACAGAAAACCCCCATATGACCACATCCGTGACCACATCCATGACCACTTGCAAGTCGTTCCCCGAGTGAGGCTTGTGCCATGGTTGCATGTTGCTCTTGCAGGTAGTGGATGGAGTATCACAGACACGCAGTAGCTACTATAGTAGCTGTATATGACATGGCACACAAATCATATTTAGTTACTCGCTAAGGCGCTCTGCCAGCATCTTCATCAGCAGAGGCCTTTCCAGCGGCCAGCTATTACACATGCACACTGTGGCACACCCTCCATACATTTGATGGCAAGATAGGTAGCCAGCAGAAGCTCCGTCCCTGCAACTTGACAGTAATCACTCAAAGCTGTGTACGAACAGAAAACTGAATTAATGATGGCACGTGTGGTCGGATTGCTCACTAATGTCGTGGCCTGCTACTGCTGCTTAAGGGCAGGAGCAGCTGGTTGGTTGGTGACCGAAAAATGCATGATAGTGATGGGGTATGTACTTATGTATGTGATTGTGGTGGACTCAGATGCAGGGGCGGAATTCATCTTAATTCCAACTAGATATCACGGCTAGATAAGAATGGTAATGCACACACGCACGGAAATAATGAAGGCGTCCTGTAAAATCAAGGAGAGGTCTCCAATGGTGGTGTACGAGATAGATAAACCTGCACTTCATGAACAAGACTACTAACAAGTGTTTGCCCGCACGAGGGGTCCAAGCAAGCAAGTTGTACAGCAATGGCTGCAGTGCCACGCACTTGCAGTAGTAAAAGCAACAAACCCAACAAACAACTGCAAATAGATCTGCTACCCTGACGTGCACACCAAACTCTCCACGTCGCCCGCTAACCCCTAGCATGGGACACGGCCCAGCTGTCAATCTATCCAAGCCAATCCCTCTACTGCAACCCAACCCAACCAGATCAAATCTGAGCAGCACACATACAAGCCAGGGAAACCGGTGCTGAGAGCAGTGCTGCTGTTGGCTATATCGGGACCGATGCAATGGCTGCCGGCAGCAGTGGCGGCACCACTGCAAGTGCCGAGGACGGCATGGCCGCAGCCACCATCCCGCGCCCGAGCCGCACCGTACAAGCCAGTAAGGTACCACCCTTGTATTTCACCGTGCGCAGCTCATTGCCCCATAGCAGCGGCTGCAGGTGCTGCATCTGTGCCTGCCGACTGCTGCGAGCAGGGCACTGCTGCAGCCGGCCAGAAGGTGATGGGACCTGCAGCAGCGGCTGTAGCGCCAGCTGATAGCGGCGGCTGTGGCTCTGGGTCTTGGCCTTGAGTCGCGCCTGTTGCTGCTGCTGCTGCTGCTGCTTCAGTTGCCACAAAGCCATGAGAGCCAGATGCTCCTGCTCAGAATAACAGAACCCAAGAGCTCATTGGATGCAGGCATATCGAGTGTTCAAAGTTAGTTTTCGTACATATAAAGCGAGGCAACACTGGCTAGGATCCTAAGTCACGCGTGTTGAACGGCTGTGCCTCGAATCCTCATATTAGCCCCGAAGACCTCTTAATTTAAGAGTCTTAAAACCTGTAAGCCAGCAGTGCTTTATAATTAGGAGGACACTTAGGCGCGCTAATGAGGAGCGAAATAAAACCCACCTTTCCTTCCAATGCTCGTACAACCTCCACGCTGACCAGCACCTCGTGCCAGGAGGCGTTGGCTGCCAGGCATGCCGCCCTCTTGGCGGCTCCGCCACAGTACGACAAACTGCCGCCGGCACGCATCGTCGCCATGGCGTCACCAATTTCTACACCACCCTTGACATGAAGTACGGACAAACGCGCGGCGGCTGTTGCCTGCACCCAGCAACAAAACGAATATTACGCGGAAGAGGATGTTATGCATGGGGCCAATACAATGAGGTGAAGATATGATGGATGGATGGATGGATGAGCGCGGAATTTTTTCCTGGAGCACTGCTCTCATCATTCGGCCCCAAACTCCACCACTTCCAGCCTGCTCCGAGGTTTAAATCCAGCACTGCCCCATCCAGCACTGCTCCCGGATCCAAGCCCCAACAGCTAAGAGACGCACGTACCCTCTGCAGGTGGTGGACCGCATTCCCCGTGTCGGCGCTGCCGCTGGCGCTGGAAGGTGAGTGCAGCACAGTCGCCGCAGCCGCCGCCACCATCGTTCCCGCTGCCGCGGCAGCAGCCGCCACCGCCGCCCCCATCCTGCCACCCTCCGCGGTGCCAAACAAGCTGCCCGACGTCCCAGTTGCGTCTTCAGCTGTGGTGACGGCGCCGGCGGCAACGTGCTTGCTCGCGGTGGTAGTGAGCGGCGGCAATTCGGCAGCGGCGGCAGCACCCATAAGCCCACCAGGCCCCGCCATGTCGCCGCCGACGCCGCCAGCCGCCGCCGACCGTTCCTCAGGTCCAAGATCGTCCTGCAGCTCCAAGATCCACCGTACGGCAGATTCAGGTTGACAAAACACTGCCTGGAAAGACCCCGGCGGTGTTGGGACCTGTGGGTGTGGGTGTGGGTGTGGGTAGGTGATTAGGTTTATGTGTACGTGTGAACCTGGTCCTGTACGGCAGCAGAATATGGAACAGCAAGAGAAACAATGATGATCTTGGTGTTAACGTGAAAGGGGTTTGTGTTTGTCATCAACCTTGTCGCCATTTCCTTGCTTGGTCATGACCACCGTCATCGCTTTCGTCATCATCATTTATCATCACTATCGGCGCCACAAGAGCAGCTGCAAGGATTATTATGACGCGCTTTCGTCTGCGTTGCTGTGTGTCCACTAGAAGCAAGTAAAGCTTATGGGGGAGCCAGCCTGCAGGAGCAGAAAACCTGCAGTGTGGCAACTCCGGGCCGTGGAAGGCGAAAAGCGCGTAATTTCGGACTGCACAGCATACATAGCACATGCCGGGGCTTTCTGTCTGGTTTTAGATGGATCAGACTATGAAGGATGTGATGGTAAAAGGAAACGTTGACCGTCTGACGTTGGCAAACCTTATCCATGTCACCTATCCGGATCCCTATCCAAGTGATAGAGTGATAAGATGGCAATCTTCCGTGTGCGTTTTATGATCTTTGCCTATATCGAACAGCATTCGGCCCTGACCCTTGGGGCCCCCAGGTTATACCTTGGGAGGTTAATGCAGCACACACACACACACATACGCACACACACATTCACTCACTCCACCTCCTTGAATTGCTATAGCGTCCGTTTGTCATTGGACAACTGACCTCCCCTCCCTCCCCTCCCCTCCCTCCCCTCCCCTCCCTCCCCTCCCTCCCCTACCAGGTAGCCCCCGTGCCGACACGCCAGCACTCCCGCCTCCTTCAGCATCTCCCGGTGAGACTCCAGGGAAGCCTCCAGACCCCACCCGGCGAACTCGTCCGGGTCCTGGACCTGAGCCAGGGCTACCGCCACACGCCCCAGAGGTGCGAACAGCACCCCGGGTACCTGTGGGTTTTAGGGTTTTAGGGTTTTAGGGTTTTGAACGAGTTTAAAGGGTGTTTTAGCATATTCAGAGCCTCCTTGGTTTTTTTTTCTTGCCCACCCATCCCCGTCATCGCATGCCCACTCTCTCCTCCCTTCTCCTTTCGGGAGCACATGCTTGCCTGGTGCCTTATCATCATCCACCCACCCCCTGCCCCTTGGTCTCATCCCTTTTCGCCTCCCACTCTGCCCCTTCCACCTCCCCCCCCTCCTCCGCCCCCTTTCCGGAACACCTTTTCAGCCTCCGTACGCAGCGGCCCAACATGGCCTGCCCTCGCCACCAACCCCTTGCCGTACACGCCGTACATCTCCACTGCCGGCCCGCCCGCCTTCAGCACATGGCTGCCGGCCGCCAGGACAATGTACGTCATGGAAATGCCGTCACCGACGCCGCCAGCGTAACCATAGCTCCCGCTGGCGCCGGCGCCGCCAAGGTGATGATTGACGATACCGGTGGCGGCGTGTTGCACGCGCGCCGTCACCGTAATTTGCCCACCATGGCCGGCATCGGCTACGGCCTTAGTCAGCTGTAGTGTAGGGCCCGGGTAGACGATGCGACCGCTAGCGCGATTGTACTGCACTTCTGCGGCACTTGTGATGCCGCAATGTAGTCCCATTCGTACACGGAGGCCTCTGTGGCCGGGGGGGATCCGGACGGGTTACTGGGATGGGCTGAGAAGTGAGAGTGGGAGAGCGGACGCGTGGGGCGAAACCCGGAGCATGGCGTGGCGTGGCGTGAGTGACTGACGAGTGCAGGGCTCTAAGGATATAGGAGAGCCGCACAGTACGGCATATCCCGGGGTGTGGGTGGTGGGTGGCAAGGAACCATCCCTTACCCCTGGAGGATTGCGAGGGGTGGCAAGGAGGGGGGTGTCAGCGTTCGTGCCAGAGTCTTGTTCGTTTTTGAATTACAACCCTCACAGGGCCCAGCTAAGCGGAAAGAAGCACCTGAAAATCACGAGCTGTCCCGTACAAGGCGCCGTACTGTCGTACGAATGATCTTCTGGAAACATACGGTTCAGTGCTTCCACCAGCCGCATGGCGGCGGGAGCGACAGCAGCGGCGGCGTCGCCGCCGCCGCCGCGGCTTCCGATAATGCCGTCCACGTCACAACAGCCGCCATGTTCAGCATCCGTGGGACCTGTGGTGACGGCTGCACCGCCAAAGAAAACTTCCGTACCGCCGCCACCGCCGCCGCCGCCGCCACCATGTCTTTCCAAACTGCATGTGTGATCTCGTTCACCGACCGGCCCAGTCGCCGTCGCTGGGGTGCCCGCCACCGTACTTCCGTAGTACGGCATTGCCGTATCGGTAATACGGGGACTGCCGTCGCCGTCCCCATCTTGACTGTCGTACATCCGCCGTTGAGATCCCCACCCGGACAACTTTACCTTACTGACAGTCGTAGGGGCTGCCGTCGCCACCGCCAAGCCCCACCTGGAGCGACCGTTATCGCTGACGGCGGGCGCTTCCAATGAACTTCGCGCCGGCAGTGCTGCTGCCGTCCGCACTTGAAAATCGTCGCCCCCCCCAACCCTGGCGGCGGTGGTGATGGCGGCGACGCTAGCGGCGCCAGCGGACGCCCCTCCACCGCCCCCGCAAGCCCCGCCATTCAGCGACGTCGTTCTCTGGCGGCTGTACGGCACCACCTGTGCCATCGCTGTCGCTGCAAATATGCCGGTTCCCGTCACCCGCCGCAAGGCCCTCGCCTCGCTGGACAGATCAATAGATGCTGGCCGGAGGTACCGACCGCCGCCGCCGCCGCCACCACAGTCGCTGGTCCGCGGCGGCGGCCTCAGATACCTTCCGCCGCCGCCGCCGCCGCCGCCGCCGGATGGTGGCGGCAACGACGCCGCCAGCGACGGCAGCGGTGGAGCAGCCGCAGTCACCACTGCTTGCTCTAAGTTCATCCCATCATGAAGCAGCGGCGGAGTTGCCAAACATGCCATGACGGCTTCAGCGGCCGCTGTGTCGCGCCGTACGACCAGCGTCGCCGCATAAGGGCTGGCGAGCAGCTCCGCCGGCCAGTCGGCGGTCAGCAGTGCCTCTTGTGCCGCCAGCGCAAAGCCTAGGGCTCGGTTGGGTCGGTGGAATGCGAGGATAAAGCTGTCGCCCTCGGTGGCGCTTTCGTACCTGTTGTACGGCGTTGTACGACAAATTTTACAAAGTGAGATATCCCCCAAATCACAATTAACAAGCAGCGTACCCCCTGTGAGGATGTGCTCAAACACTCATTGGCTACCCGGCTGCCCCGTGCACCGACCCACCGACCCACCGACCCACCGACCCACCCTCCAAATTTGACCAGCAGCTCCCGAATCGCCCGGTGATGCAGCTTGACGGCTGTGTCCATCACCTCCGCCGCCAGGCTCTCCCACAGGCACGTCGAGTCCTGCAAAGTACGACACCGTACAGCATAATGTCATGTACGATGTTATGTACGATGGCGGTATGGCATATATGATAAGGAGCGGGAATCCACGTCGAAGTTTAAGTTTAAGCCGGCCGAGGGCTAAGCTATTACCTCACATTATGTTGGCAAAAGATGCTGAAGGAGCAGTTTGCCGCCCAACTGTCTGTTTCATTCGGTTTCTTTTCTGTTTGTTCCCGTTCGTTTCTGTTTTTTCTGTTTCCACGTTCCTCGGTCTAACTGCCGTGTCCCCCGTTCCGCTCCTACTTGTCCCCAGACGGAGTCCTCCTCTCCGCCCCCCTCCCCCCATAAACATCAAGACATACATACACACAAGCGCGCGTACACACCCGCTCACAAACATACATACACACACAAGCGCGCGTAAACACACACGCTCACAAACATACATACACACACAAGCGCGCGTACACACAAACAGCAGCCCTTGGCCAGCGTCAGGCCCGGCAAGACATGTAATGTGCAACTAATACACACACACGTGTGATGCCTCCTACCGCCCCCCCGGGGGAGGAGAGCGGAGCTAGCGGACCTGCGGCTCTCGGCTGCTTAGGAGGGACAGAGGCCCCTTGCGCGCCCCTCTCCCGTCCGCGGGAGAGAGTTTAGGCGGCCTCTTTTCGTTGGGGCTGGCCAGCAGCCCCTGGCCAGTGCCAGGCCCGGTCAGATACTTGTAACCTAAGCACATACATACAAACTCATACACTCGCACACATACAAACTCACACACATACAAACTCACACCTGGATATCAGTCACTAGAAGGCTGCTGTCCGGTCCTACGCCGGGGGGCCCAGTGCGAGCCAGCAGCACCTCCCGCCGCAACCGCCGCCAGCGGAGGACAACCAAGAGCACCGCCGCTGCCGCCACCAGCACCGCCGCCGTCGGGACAAGCGCCGCCAGCAGCCGTACGGTTCCGGAAGATAAATATTTCCCCTGTACGTCGTACGACAGAAAGATTTTTATAAAACTGCGGACTAGGTCCCGGGGGGAACAGGAACTGTAATATGTTGAGAAGCTGAACCTTTCCACAACCAACTAACCAACTAGTCAACGACAAACCACCTTGTCAGGAAAGACTAACCCCAGAACCACATCCCCCACACACGTTGGCAGTTGGTGGTGGTGGCGGTGGTGGTGGTGTGTAGTGCACAGATCGCTGGTACAGCGCCAGCAACCTCTCCTTGCCGCCCGCGTTAAGATACATGTCTTCCGTACCAGACCGCAAATCCTGGAGAAGCTGCTGGAAAGTGGCGTTTCCCGCCAGTGCTTTGAAAAGCATATTTTGGATGAGGGTACTGCGAAGGGACAGTTAGAACGGTTGGGTCGGTTGGGATGATTGGAACGGCTGGGTGGTTGGGCTCGTGGTGAGGTAGGACCCCGATATACCCCTTCCCCACTGCAACCTCCACCCCACCCCACCTCACATACATACACACATACATACGCACTCAAAACCCAAAACCTTCCCCCCCTCTTTCCCCCCACGCACTATGTCTCATACACTCCAGGTATTCGCAGCTCGTAGTAGACATTGTCGTGGAGAAAGTCATGGCGGTAAACCCGGAGGAACTCTCTGACGTCATCCTGCTCGTACCTGCAGTCACGTGGAGGGTCAGTGGAGAGTTTGGGGGGAGGTTTCGGAGGCCACTGGAGCCCACAAAGCAGGCAACAGTACGGCGGGGAAGCGCAAGAGTCAGTCCAGGAAAAAATTAAACTAGAGGGACAACTAACAAAGAAAATAGGATGAAACAAACCCTAGGAAAATAGTGCGATACCTGTATCTCATGTATTGGACAGTTGTTGTTGGTTGATGGTTTGTGGTTGATTGGGAATTAGGCCTCAGGTCGAGGTGGGCCTTGTGGGTTACGGCGGAGACCGTCATGACAGCGCTCGGCCCACTCCATCCACCCACTCACCCACCTGTATGTATGTATGTATGTACACCCGCCTCCCCACTCCCACTCCCATTCCCAGGAACCAAATATGGAGCTCAAATATCCAAGCTCACCCAGCATCCACCCAGATCTCCTCGTCCAACTCGTCCGTACGGATAGGCATTAGCTCTGTCGTACACATCAGTCGTACACAGGACACATCAAAACAGGCCAGCCAACTTTATAACGGCAGAGTGGAGAGGGAATGGAGAGAGGACAGACATACGGACATGCGCACAGACAGATAAATAAGCAAGCAATTAGATAAACAGATAGATTGGCAGCCGTACAGCCGTACATACGGGCAAGGGCACATCTGCATTGGTGAATGTAGCTGGCTACAAGATTCGAACAGGTGATGGCGCCTTGCGTTGATAAAGAAGAGCGGTTAGGATTCTGACCGACATAACGCCCCTCCAATGATGGAGGGCTGCGGCGATTGTTCCCGTTGGGGTGTGTGGGCCCGGTGGCCAGGTTCAGGCCCGGATCGATACGTAACAAATACACACATACACACACATACACACACATACACACACACATACACACACATACACACACACATACACACACATACACACACGAGTACACGCACACCAACGCATGTCCATGGCTGAAATGCGTGCGTGCTTCCCTTACTTCCTCACCCCTTCCCACCCCATGCCCACCCCCTCCACCTTCCCAACCCCACCCGTTTTGGGCTGCAGCATCAGTCTCCGGTGCTGTTCGGGTCCCGTGAATTCGTGCAGGAAGGTGTAGGCCGCCGCCTGCCGGTGCAGCGGTGCCAGTGCGTTAATCACAAAGCTCGCCGTCTCGATTGGCACAATGCGATTCACCATAATGCCATTACTGCTACTGCTACTGCTACCGTTGCTGTTACTGCTGCTGCTCGAGGTGGTGTTGGAAGGAGGGGGAGAACGATCTGGCTCCAGATCAGCGAACGGGCACAGAGCCCCCGTGCAGGGAACCAGGCCGGCGGTTGGGTTGTTGCGGTCCAGCACTCGCACTGACCCAGGGGTCAGTGCGACCCCCTGACGACCCCTCATGGCGCTGGAGTTATGGGAGGCACGCTGACGGGGAAGAGGATGAGATGGGAGGGGGGGAAATTTGGGGAGGGGGGGATGGTTAGCCGTTAGGCATCGGTTGGGATATGCCGTACACACATGAGTCGCTTCGGCTTTTCTTTGTTAAGCCCCGAACCCGAGGCCCTAGGTCGGCACCAACCCCATCCCCAACCCCAACCCCAACCCCGCTGGCTGCACACACACGCACCTTAAACGCGAAGGAGAAACCCCAAAGCATCAGACACCGGCCAGCTTCCAACATGTCGTACACCACAGAACACGGAGTAGTGTCAGGCACGCTGTGCGCCTTTAGCGCCAGAAACAGCCGCAGCGCCTCTTTAAGGACTGTTGGATTTCCGTACAGCGGATCCAAGTTGGTTGGGTCAAACCACGTGCCATGGCTGGGTCCCTCTAGCTGAACCATCGTACCCACGATGTACATAAACATGGCATGGGCGTAGCCGCAGACTGCAAAATGGGGGATAAACGGGTGGATGTTGCTGGGTCGGGAGTGGGGGGAAGGATTCAGGAAGTTGTTGGGGTTAATTCTCATCATGCCACGATTTGCCTTTTTCCATCCTGTTCACTTTGGGTACTTTTGGCGCCCTTCTGCTATTCACCCCGGCCTGTCGTTATCCGCCTGGTAAGGTTGGTAAGAGCTCTGGTCTTCTTCTGAACCAAAGTCTCTTCTTCTTCCCCTTTACGGGAATCACACACCAAAGTTCCCCTTTAGGGGAAGAAGAAGAACCCCTTCCCCGAAGGGTACAAGGTTGACTTTTCGCCTGTGATAATGCACGTGTGCTTACAGACACACATACATATGGATTGCATCTTGGCACCTACCTGCTAGGGATGTCTTCGCTATGCCGACACAGATATCCCACCAAGCTCCTGTTAAGTCCAAACCCATCGATGCCATCCTGTTCACACCCCCGGGATCCCCCCGGGCGATCGCCCGCCGGTTTTCCCTCCCCACAAACCCACCCGGATTAGACTCGAAGCAAAACCCTAGGTCAGGCTGGTCGGGACCTAGGGCGCCTCTGCCGTACTTGTCCGCCACCGCGAGTGCCTCGTCCCACGTGCGTGGTACGGAAATGTTGTACGACATAAACAGGTCACGGCGGTATAGCAGTTGATACGACGTGAGCCACAACGGCAGGGCGGAATAGGAGCCGGCGTAGGCTGACGATCCCGCATCTCTGCTAGCCGTAAAACGGGATGGGGAAGGGGGTTGGGCGCTGCCCCTCGCTTGGCCTGCAACCACCACTATGACCGCCGTACATATGACCGCCGTACATAATACGCCACATACGCACATACCTGAACGCCGTGGGGATGTCCACGAATCGATAGCCGTCATCATCAACAAGGATACCTGTCAAGTCCACAAACACATCTCGCCCGATGTTTGCGCCAAGGACCTCCGCGGATATCAACCAATAGTCGTTGGGTCCTGGGTCGTTGACCGTTGGCCAAACTTCCAACCAACTGAGAATGTATTCGGAGATCGTGCGTGATTTGCCGCCCAGATGAAGACCAGATTTATTATTAAATTGCGCCAAGGACAGTTCGAACTCGGGTTGCATGCCGTTGCGCCATGATAATCCAAATGCGTCATATGTGGCGGTCTGTTTTGGGATCAGCCAGAGCAAGCGACAACGGACACAGGGATACGGCAACACCGCACAGCATGTTATGTTAACGGCTATGAGGGCTATTGTCGCACGGGGGAAGGGGAGGGGCACGTGCCTGTGAAGGATAAAATATTGGCAGGGATGAGGGAGTGCAAGCACGGATAGGGGTTAGCAGAATTAGACTGACTGCAACACGCTGGCTAGTAGGTGGCTTGCGTTGTCTGGTCTGGGTGTGCGTCTTGGTTGCCCTGGTTGCCTTACGTGCAATGATGCACGGCCTGCTGGCCCGTTAGCTCTACTCTTAACGAGTCTAGAGCCAACTGCAACAACACCCCCCCCACACACAAACATACATACACGCGCAGATACAGACACACATACAGGCTAACAAGATGTCGTGCGGAACCCACCCACCCACCCCAGGGGGGGGGGCCCTTCGGGAGGACGGAGGGCGGATTACACGAACGAACTGGAACAACGGTTTTACGTAACGTCTCCGTCGACCAAAGAACGTTTTGATATTAGAGCGTGCATGAGCTCGTAATGCGGCCCCAAGGAGCCGGAGGGTTCACGGATTGCGAGCCTAAGAGACAAAGAGACAAAACTAGTATGAGGAAAAACAACTCTAAATTAACTAGTTCGAGCGAATGATGCCAGCAATCAAAACGTGCGGCGATCAGTATGGCTATATACCCTCCGCTTTGGGGAAATAGCACCCCAATTGCTAACCTTTACGTAATTGCCTGCAATCTAGAAATTTCGATCGAAGTAGAAAAGGAAAGGCTCAAAAATTTTCTCTAGAAACATTTCTGCCATTTAAGTTAACTACGCGGGAAGGATATACATACATACACACATACTAGTTCTTTCTTTCACATGACGTCACCACGCCTGCGCAAGCCTTTCAACTACCACCTGTCAAGTTCTACTGCTACTGCTGCTGTTTAACGTTTGCACTTCGTGCTGATACGTCAGTCGGTACGTAGATTGGGGATTTTCGGCCTTTGTCGCCGCCACCTTCGCAATCACTTCTGCGCCGGCGGGTAATTCAGCTTGCTCTGGCGTCATCCTACTTATCATCAACTCAACATCTACTCCTTATTTTTATAATTAAACATTCTGTAAACGCTAACCGGATTATTTCGCTTGGGAAGGTTGCTCGCTTGCCAGCGCCAACACTCCCGTTTAGTAACCGTTCATAGCTCGTTTCAACATCATTATTTGAAACGCATGCAACCGTACCACTCCTGTGCAGTTGAAATCCACGAGTTGCCACCCAGCAGGGGGTGATTGGACCACAGTGACACAGGCCCGCTGGGGCATGTTGGAGCATGTTGTTTGCTAGCCGCTGCCGTACATAATGCACGACAGCGCACTGGAGTGATAGGCGCCTGGCAGCAGGACGGTCACCCTCCAGACTTCCGGTCAATCCCCTAGATGCGCGCAGCAACAGCAGCTCGGCAGTAGCAGCCAGGCAGCAGCAGCCTAGCAGCAGCCAGGCAGCAGCAGCAGCAGCCGCGGCGGCGGTGGCGGCGGTGGAGTTGTAATAATTGACACGGGAGACCGCACCCAATCAGACCAGCCTCAGCAACCACCTCACGTACGTGAACCAACCGACGAACGGAGCATAAATGTTTTGGAACTTGGCAAGCTGTAGGACGAGAAGCAACGCATTGAGACACCTATCTAGACATGTTTGTTTCCTGGTAAAATTCAAACGGGATTTGCCAAAACCTCTATATAGATTGTCGTCCAACCATCCCCCCCACACACATCCCAATCTGGATTGGTCTTTTCCGAACCTCTCGCTCCCCGACGCCCAGCGATACTAAATCCACTCGACGGCTGCACGGCGGTTCCCGTTGGCTTTCTTGGACCGTTCAAATCCAAGCGAACTAGGGTAAGATGTCGGCCGGGGTTGGCTATAACGTGTGAGAGATTTGGTTACCTGTCTAAGCTCACGCTTGTAAAAGCTATGCCGAGCGAGGGCTATAAAAGGGGCTGTAGAAGTGTGGCCACAGCCAGCGAGCGAAGATTATCATAAATCTTATTTTTCCTGCATACCTGGTTCGCTATTGTGGAGTAGTCTATTTGGCAATCCCGTGTAATCTTCGTTAGTGCGGCCCACAAAAAGTGGTCTCCGGAACCGTTGGCGAAGGCTCGGCAGCTGCAGAGCACAAAACAAGGACAGGTTTAAGATTTCAATATCAAATCCTTGCTGCCTCATGCGAATCGGCCCCTGCACCCATCCTTACCCGTCATGCAGCACCGACGTATGATTGATCAAGCAAACTTCTTTTTGCTGATGCCAGACCTCATGAGAACTTTTACTTTGTGAATAGCATAAAGGTTTCCTTATTGTGGGTATAAGAAGCGAAAACCAGCAGAACCAGGAACCCAAGTCCCATAACCTAATCCGCCTCCTTGATGCGCATCCCGGACGATACATTGCCATAAGTTACAAAGGTTTACCATTTAGCCTTTTGTATAGCGCCATGTGACAGGTAGTAACCCTACGATTAAACGCACAGTTCCGCACAATATGATGAGCGACATGGTAAGGGAACTTGAAACCGAGAAAGAAATAGTTTTTGCGCTGGGCCGAGGACGTCCGTTGACATTTTTAGCCGACCGAAACGTCCGACTCACACATTTGACCTTTTACTCATCCATGTACTCCGTTTACCTTATAACTGATGCAACCTCAAAATTAAAAGTTACTGATTTCTTACTGTATAGTGCATCAAAGTCTTCGTTTCTTGGCCACATGGCTTTCACTCCATTCCTTCGTGCTGGACGGTTTACAAACTAAACACCAGTTCAGAGCTAAACCATCCTTGTGCAAAGCTAGCCCACTTCAACATAATTAAAAATGTTATACATTAGCTCGTCTTTTACAATGAATCGCAGACGCAACTACTGCAGGACTGTAAACTGCGGAAGGACAACTCAACCAAAGATGTGTCCCGTGCGCATCACAACAAACGCAACAGGCGCCAGGGTCGATTAAACTCACCCTGGGGCTCTTACCCTTCGCAAGTACGAATACTCCTACAAGCGCCCCCTCTCCTCTAATTGGACCGAATTTGAATATTTGGGAACTCAGGAAGGACGACGCATGGTAATACACGAAGACATAACATCCATCCCTCCATCCTTCCTTCATCCACCCAGCCGCGTAGCGATCATCCAGCCACGAAGCAAGCTAGCCAGCTAGCCAGCCAGCGTCAGCCAGCTACCTCGTTCACTGGCGGGTTGCGTGTTCGTCATCTTGCCTCCAGCGCGGCAATGAACAGGGAGCCCTTGTCTCCAACGCTGATGCGAATCTGCTCCTCGCAGAGCAGCGAGTCGGGCGCCATGATGTCGCCAGGCCACCACACATAGCAGAGAGATGCGGCGGCGGCAATGGAGGAGGTGACGAGTGAAACACGCAGGGCGGCAGGCAGGGGATGGGTGGGTGGCTGGGTGCTGCCCGGGTGGGGTGGCTGGATGGGTGGGTAAGGTGTTGCGTGAAGAGGTGGAGGCGGCATGTGCTCATGCACCGTAAGTGCGTGTGCTCAGGTGGGGATGGGACCGTTCTGTCCAACTGAAAATGGTCCGTTTACCAGCCGCACCAGCACCAGCACCGCAACCAGCACCCGCATCGCCGCCAGCACAACCGACAGCACCCGAAGAACCACCACCGCTGTTCGAGGAGTGCACCTCGCGCGCAGCGGCATTGCATCTCCCTTCCCTTTCCATGCTACCGTCTCCGGACTGCACCGACCCAAACTGAGCAGACCCGACTTCAAACCTCCAATGACCCGGACATATATACATGCGAACACCCCCTGCAAACAAACTCGGCTTCACCCCACCCAAGCCAGTCGCCAGCACAGCACAGACCTCACCTCGTCATCCAGATAGGGCGTGTCCACGAACCCCACCTGCGGTGGCCAAGGAGGGATGCAAGCCAGAGGCAAAGTGGTCCAAGGGGAGGGGAGTAGGGAAAACGCCAGCACTGACCCACTGTATGGGTCTCACGTCTGTGGAGAGTCGAAAATAGGAGGTCACAACCCCCACCCACCACTAGATGGAGGCAGTGGTTCCGATCATGCATATTAAGGACACCTTCTTCACGACCCGCTTTTGACAGGAACAGAAAAACGAGGAGGAGGAGAAGAAAAAGAAAGGAGGAAAAGAAAAAGAAGAAAAACAGTTGGCAAGGATTTCCTGATTTTCCCATTCAATTTACGGGCCCTGACTTGAAATCAATCCGCTGCAACGCGCATGGCCAACAGCACGTACCGGATTGAGCAGTGACAGGGGAAGCGACAACCTGCGCGCGAGTATTGTGGGGAGGATAAAAACCACAGACGAATGTAAAGGATGGGGAAAAAGGAGAGGTGAAACCGTTTCATGGCAAGTGATCGAGCGTCCGAATATCACACCATGAAACGGCAAGTGATCGAGCGTCCGAATATCACACCGAGATCAAGAACATCGTGCATGTGCGCGGAGAGGTACGTCAGGGAATTTTATGAAAGATCGTTTTCAGCAAATGTCGATAGAACAAATATTCGGGGGTTAAGTAACCGGACGGGGGGAGGCCCGGAAAGGGGTGCATGTGTCCGTTCAAATGGTTTTGGGCAGGTGCGGGTGTTGGGGAATGGACGCAAGCGATTTATTCCGTGGCAATGCACTCCCAGGTGGGCTCCCTTCGCCGGCAAGGCAGGGACGCTAAAGGCAGGGACGTCAGCACTTGCATATCTCCTGTGTGCGCGTGTGCATGTATGTATGAATGTGTGTAACTGCGAGTGTGTGTGTGTGTGTGTGTCTGCATCCATATTTGCGTGTTCATAAAGCAGAGGTAAAGCATAGACGTGTGGTGGTCATTGTGCAGATGCCTTCCTGAAAACTTGTAAACCTACAAAAGGGATCGAAGCAAATGCAGCACAACGGCACGGAGGTAGGCCCAGGTATAGCTGTACGACATGAACCACCCTGCCTGCCCCAAAATTCCCTTCCCACCACATCCAAATCTTCCCCCCGTCCTCCTCCCTTCCATCCTCATTCGACCTTCATTCCACCTTCACTCCCGGGTATTCACGTCCATATCTGGTTCACCCCGTCTGGGTCCGTTCACCTTCCCCCACGAGGCTTTCCTTTCCTCTTTGTCAGTCTTTCCTGTCGTCCATCTCACCCTCATGCCCCCCGCTCTCTCTCTTCTGGCGCATCAGTCTTTCCTTGCCATCAGCTTCACTCGATCGTGGTTCGCCTTCCCCGCTCTCTCTTTCCTCCCAGGGGCCCCCCCCCAACCGCTCCACTCGCCGCTCTAAGATAAATTAACATTGAGACTATTCGCTCAAGATGTAGAAAATGTACCCCTTCCTAGGCACTACTGGTCAGTAACTTAAACAAATATTCCTCCTGCCGTACCTGTGAATCGCTAGTATCTGCTTCAATTGTCAGTGGTTCGTCTCACCCCTCCCTCCGCTCTCCTTTTTTTTACCTTTTTTGGCCGTCTACCACCACATCGAAGGAGGTGAACACGGCCCTTAGGCGCTGACAGGGACGACCAGGCGGGCCCTGTGCGCGGTTTGTGCACCGTAACGATCAACGATCAACGACGATGACGACGACGATGATGACAAGGAGGCGGAGGCGGAGGATGGGGAGGAGGAATTTTGGAGGCGTGGGGGGTTCCAAAAAAAGGTGTTTAAAAATATAGGAGGGACATCAAAGGGAGGGCCATCAGTGGATGGAGTGGATATGGAGCTCCATGGCTCTCTCCAGGCAACACGGCCCCAAACGGAATTAGTTCATCGTGACTAGGGTCCTGTCCTGGCCATTTGGGTCGTGTGCATCTTTTGTCGTGTTATTAAAGGCAGTTGGCAGCACGTGGAGCAGCAGGGCTCCAAGCGGGCGCTCTGATAGTGGTGGGCCTTTGGGCCTTGGGAGCTGCCTACAACAAAAAGCATAACTTTAGTAAACTAGATAAAAATTATGCCCTGACAGCTTTTCCTACTCCGGATGCCGCGGTGGGGTGGGGGACCGTGTGCAGGACGTGTGAAGGCTTTTGTGGGGGTGTGGAAGGGGGGACTTGGGAGCGCAGAGGAATCCAGGTAGCGTTGCGCGCCGGCCTTCCATGTAGCGCTTTCCACATGCCCACCTTCACGACCTCCGCTGTACCGTTCACGTTGACGCAGAACTGCATTCCGCCGACCTCGAACCTGAGACGCGAACTCCGCGGGGAGGGAAGGGGAGGGGAGGGAAGGTGGGAACGAGAGTGGGATTCCCCGACACGGGACGAGAGAGAACTGATGTCGTACAGATTAATTGATGAAAAATTCCGTTATGTTCTTGCGAATATTTCCTTGACAGCCATAACAGTTTTCAAAGTATTTCATATCCGTTACGATATTTATTTGCGTATTCCTTAACAAGCACTTCAGTACTGTGTAGCCACCACGCTACAACGCGGGATGTACAGCAGTAGTACGACACGTTCACATCAGAATTGGACCTGGTGAATCGCCTGCGAGAAGGCGGGGGGACCGGAAGGAGGGAGGAGGGGACGGAGAGTGCGACACAAAGCACTCAACAAATCGTTACCTATGCACATGCACACACACGTACACACACATACACCCAACCACGCACCCCCCCACACACACACGCACCCACACCCACACACCTGGCTTGGTTCTCCACTTTCCCCGCCCGTGTATCAAACACCTGTCCGGGGCGTACGGGGACCTTGTGGCGCTCGGGTTGGAAGTCAAGGGAGGGCCAGGAGAGCGGCATAACCACATGACTCCACACCCCCAGCAGCATCACACATCACTACCCCACATCCCATAAACTGCTAGTACTAACAATACCAACAATAATAATGATACTACTAGCCTAGCACATATAGAACCGCCAGCAGTAACCAAACGCTGCCGTTACTCGTAGCGATAATGTTGTTGATAATACCCTGCAATAGGAATGCCCAGCTACGTAGCCTGCTCTTGGCCCGTTCCTGCACCCCCCGCCCCCTTCCAGCACTCCCTGCCCCCTGTCCCTTCCAGCACTCCCCGCCTTGCCTGGAAGTTACCTCTGGGCTTCACCGGACCGGAGGCGGCAGCGCCCCGAGCCCCCACTGCGGCACCAGCCAACACCGGCACGTAGCTGCAACGGAGCGGCAAACCAACGGGCGGTAACGAGGGGGCTGTGGCTGGCAGCTTGGGGGCAGCGCGGGGGCCCCGGGGGACGGAGGGGAAAGCTTAGGATCGAAAAACCCGGGTTCGGTAAAGGGAACGAGAAAGCTGCATTGAGGGCCGTCCGCGGGATTTTGCATGGGGTGAGAGAGGAGAGGTGCAGAGCAGGGATGCGGGATACTTCCATCCGTCGGGTGTCACAATCGGCACTGGAACGGGGGAGAAGAAGGGATAGATGGTTAGATAGATAGATAGATAGATAGATAGATAGATAGATAGATAGATAGATAGATAGATAGATAGATAGATAGATGGATGGATGGATGGATGGATGGACAGATGGAAGGGCGGGAGGAAGTCATATGCGAGAAAATAAAGAGAGAGAGGACGGAGGGGGGAGGGGAGGTAGAATTTTGAAGAAGAGCGAGGGGTCTTCTGGGGCTTGGGGGCTGAAACTGAAGGTATGGATCTTTGCATGGTTCGCAGATTCCTGAGCTGAAAAGCCTGGGCTGGACGTACGGAGCCTCGTTTTTAGGGGAGATTCTATTCGCGGATAGAGGCGATGAAGGGAAACTTATCAACGAATGTACACAATGGTTAGTTTCCGGTCCAATTGCATCACCCCGTAAGGTTCTAATGAAATGTTAGATGCTTTTTCAAAATAATACAGAAAAGCTTACGTGTAGAAAAAGCGGTAGGCGATATCGTTAGCGAGCTGTAGCGGTGACAAGGCGCTCTCCAAACTCCCATCGTAGCTGCTGTAGCCGTTACTGCTGCTGCCGCTGCTCATGCCGCCGTCGCTACCGCTGCTCATTGTCTCGTCACTTCTGCTACTGCGGCCTCCTGAGACCGATCCAGCACGAGCACCGTAGGTTGAAGCAGATGCTGCTTGTCGGAGTGTCGTACTGCTGACGGTGTACAACAGTACCCACCTGTCAGGGGTTCCGGTCGGGGGCGGGTACAGCACCGCCAAGCATATGGCCAGAACAGTGCATGGCCCAGGAAAAAAAACCAGAAGTACTGCAATTTATCTTACGATGGCAAGACGACGTTCACCGAAACTGTAAATTTTACTCTACATGTTTAGCAAGTGAAACTCCAGCCGAATCACAGCATATTAAACAAAAACGAATTCACACTTTCCCGGTTTTGCTGCGAAAATTGCCAAACTTAAATGCTATAGCACGACTCCTCGCAGAAACCCAAGGATGCCTCGATGCAGTACCTGCCATTTATAAGACCTGACGTGGCTGAGTCGGGGTTGGGATTCAGGCGGATGAGATCTCGAATAGCGCCGTCCAACGAAGCAAGATCCGCGGGACCAGGCAGCGCGGCCGCGTTGACCCTGCGGCATATTTCCTTAGGGCCTTAATTTTACCCAACGTTGACCCAAATCGATAACTGCGCCTAAAACTACACCCAAGTCAGCGACAGAAAGATGCGGTAGAGATGGCGCGCGGAATGCTACGATGCGCGGTCGTGCTCGTTAGGGCCATATTGGGGTTGGCTGCAGACCGCGATTGGAAGCTAGTTTTAAGAGAGATTAAGAGAGGGACAAAATTCTTGCAGAGAAGGTCGGGCAGCATTAACGTTTGAAACAAGGCAGATGCAATCTTGCATGTGTGAGGCCCTCTGTGCACAGGGTACTAGGGCGTGCTGCCTCAGAGATTTTTCTGACGCAGAGCTGTTGGGAACAAGTAATGGATAATCGGGATTGATTCAATGTACGCTTTGCGTTGTATGATACATGCGAAAACAGATTCGGGGTGGCTGTGTAAGCGCCTGCCGCCGGGGGGGACGTACTTGCTCACAAGCTGCCTCAGCCTAGCTTTCGCTTGCGCACGAGCGGAGTCGTCATCGTTGAGCTTTGATGATTGAGGGGACGAAGGTGTAGGCATTGATTGTGACGTTGAGCGGTTGGGGCCCATGTCACCACGACCGGCTGACTTGGGCGAGTGCGGTATCCGCCTCGTACGAGTCCATAGGAAAGCTAACGAGGCAGGGCTTCTCTCCGCGACTATAAACGATCGCATCCTGAGACCTGGCCCAGTCTCTAGCTATGCCGAATTAAAAGTAATCTGGTATTTCCGTGGCACTTGGGATGGTCAGCAGGATGACGCACCCAGCAACAGGTTGATCTAAGAAGGGTCGTTTTCCTGTGCGCTGCATCCAAAGGACCTAATAACCGCTGAGGACGGAGCCTTCACATTGTTACACGTATCATAGTACGGCTGGAGTTAATCGACGACTTTCGATCCAGTTTGGCGTTACGTCCATGCTTGAATAGTTCAGTTTGCACGTACAATAGTGTATACTTCTGTGTAGAAACATAGCTCTCCGGCAAAGACATCTCCGTTTCAAAGCCCTCGGCCCGTGACAGGTCCTTAATAGCCTGCGCAAAAATAGTGCAACTGTAGGCAAAGGTAGATAGATATATACAACCTCATTCTCCACGCGTTGGGGACACCTGCTTCCTGGGTTGCAATTGAAGGAACTCATTTGGGGTCCATGACAATGGATTACGTTTGGTTAGGTCACCGCCTACGTATAGACTGGTGATACGCACATTTTGGATTGGGCGTCGGCGACACTTTCCGGCTTCTCCGCGCATTCCGCCGGCGCCCTGACGCACATTCTCTGCCTGCCAGACTTCAATCATGGGCTGCAGTTCATCTATTCATGCAGCTCCGCCATCTGTTCCCGCACACGCGGCACAACAAGGTATCCGGGCAGCTCACATGGTCCTAGAAGCTGGAACTGTTGGTTCCCAAGGTTTGACGATCGCCAAGCAACCAATTCCGCCTCACCTGTCTGCTTAGAGGTTCTCATATATCAAAAACATTCCTATAACGAGTAGAGTTTCGACGGGAGAGTCTTTTGTGGGTGTCACAAGGGATTTGTGTCCAAGCCGTACCCCAGGGAGTTTCCTCTCTGCATCAAGGAGTTTCCCACATTCCCGGTTTCCCGAATCACCTCTAGCAAGTCCTGGACTGTTGCGCCGGGCCTGGTAGACCCTAACCGGGCCCAGGCCGGATACACGTTCTCCCGCTTCCCCCGGTGGCCTGGCGGTCGGAGGGCAACGGCCCCCTCCCCGGACGCGCTTCAACCAGATCCAGATCAGATCCAGTTTTCTGCCATCCAGACATGCTAGTCGGGCTTTTTTGGAGTTACAGGCCCTCCGACTCCCAAGTCCCTTTTTGAAAGGATGTGATACAGGAGGGTTTGTGTGTGTGTATATGTGTGTGTGGAGAGTTTGGCACACGCCCTGCAAGTGGGTCGCACCCCGGGTAGGCGCCGAGCCTGAAGACCTCTGGGATTCCTTGGCCAAGAAGCCAGGGCCCTCGCGTCCTGGCTGCACCCTCGGAGGAGGACATTTTCCCCACTAAACGCTCCCCACTAAAAGCAAACCACCCTACAGCCCCGTAACCTCAAGCAAAACACCCACCCCTCACCCAACTCCTTGCCAGCCCTATTAGATGTTCCCTCCTTCCCTCCTTCCATTCCTTGCCCTCACCCGGCCCCTCTAGGCGGTGGGGCCGCCGCCACCAAGCCCCAGCCGGTTACCCCCGATTCCCGGGTACTGCGGGGTCAGGCCTACTACTCGGCCGGCAAGGTGGCCGAGGCGCTGAAGGAGTTCAACGCCACCATCGCCGCCTGGCCCACGTATGCGCGAGGTGGGAGCTGGGGGATGAGGAGGGGGGGTTATAATGCTTGCAAAGTCC